TAGCATGGTGTCCTCAAGGTTCATTCGTGTTGCGGCATATGACAGAATTTCCTTATTTTTTTAAAGGCTGAATAATATTTCACTGTATGTGTATACTTGCCACCTCCCTCTACCTTAGAGGTCTACCAAGAAGAATCTTAGAGACTGAGTCATCTGTCGCAGCTTCTAATTAATGGCTATGGACATGCCAAAAATGCATCCATCATTTATAATGAATGATAAGGCTATTGTTGCTGGCTCTTCTAGTCAGAATATTTTGACTATATGTACAGATTACCTATATCATGGAGGCCAGAATGTTGGAAATGCTTGTTGTAAGGATGTATGTGGACTGGGACTGGAAAGCTGTCAGAAATCAGGGGAGGTCTAGGTTTTGCTACTTTCTCTCTCATGAGCAATTTAATTTTGCTCTTGAAGTCTCTCTATCTCCTCACATACACTCCATTCTTCTCTACCAATTCTACTTATAATATCTGCTTCCTTATGCTATAGGCATGCACATAAATCACCATGACCATCTCAGGCTCACTCTACTATAATTTTGCAGCTTCAGTTCCCGTAGCTAACTCCTTTTTTTGTTTGTTTGGGTTTTCTACCTCAGTTTATGCAGAAAGAAAATTTGGTTGGCTGAGTTCAGCATTTTCTTTCCTTTTGTTTTTAAATAAAACTTTTAAAAAGTTATTATTTTTATACCACTAAATTCTCTCATTTTAAACATACAACTAATATTTTTTAGTATATTTTCAGAGTTGTGCAAACCATCACCATAATACAGTTTTAGAACATATCCATTAACATGAAAAACTTCCTTAAGCCTTCTTGCAGTTGATTTCCACTTCCACTTCTAGTTGCAGGCAACCATTTATCTGCTTTCTGTTTCTATAAAAATGTTTTTTCTGTACACTTAACATAAATAGAATCATACTACATTTCATGTTTTGTGCATGACTTCTTTCACTGAGCATAATGTTTCTGAGGTTCATACTTGATTACCATAGCTTTAGAGTAACTTTGGAAATTGGGTTATGTTAGTCTTCCAACTTTGTTGTTCTTTTTCAAAAACACCTTGGCTATTCTAGGTCCTTTTCATTTCCACACATATTTGCAGATCAACTCATCAATTCCTTAAAAAAACGTTTTGAGATTCTGATAGGGGTTGCATTTAATATATTAATCATTATTGATCAACTTGAGGAGAAGTGCTCTTTAAAATATCGAGTCTTCAATTCATGAATATGTGACATTTCTCTATTTAGCTATTTAATTTTTCACCAAAATGCTTTGTAGTTTAGTGTACAAATTTTGCACTTCTTTTTTTTTTTTTTTTTGTCTTTTTGTCTTTTTCCTTGTCCGGCAATGGATCGCAACCCTCAGTGTTGCCCCTGTACTGGACCGGGGACCGGCAACGGGATTGCAACCCTCGGCGTTGCTCCCGTGCCTCGCTCAGCCAGTGAGCGGGAACCGGTCTGTATGTGGGATCCGAACCCTCGGGTGGGAGCGCCGCCGCGCTTCCCAAGCGGCGCATTATCCAGTGCACCACCGGGCCGGCCCAAATTTTGCACTTCTGTTGTTAAATTTATTCCTAAATATTTTATACTTTTTGATATTATTATGAATGAGATTATTTTCTCAATTTTATTTTGTGTCGCTATCACTAACATACAAAAATATGATTTATTTTCATACACCTGTGTTCTGTGATACAAACTACTCTTCATTGGTCCTAGTAGTTCTATTGTAAATCCTTTGAATTTTTTTTTTCTTTTTTTGTCTTTTTTACTGACCGGCAACGGGATCGCAACCCTCGGTGTTGCGCCCGCACTGCGCTCAGCCAGTGAGCGGGAACCGGTCTCCACATGGGATCCGAACCCTCGGCGGGAGCGCTGCCACGCTCCCAAGCGGCGCACTCTTCAGTGCACCACCGGGCCGGCCCAATCCTTTGAATTTTCTGCATAGATGATTTTATATCTGTTCATGAAAACTTTTATTTCTTCCTTTCCAATCTAGATGAATCTATTTATCTATTGTCCTATTGTACTATCTAGAACCTCTGGTTATAATGTTCAATAGAAGTGGTGAGAATGGACATTTTTGCTGTGTTCCAGACCTTAGGGGAAAAACATGAAATCTTTCACTATTATGTATGATGTTAGCTATATCTTTTTTGTAGATGTCCTTTATCAGGTTGAGGAAGTTCCGTTTTATTTCTAGTTTATTAAGAGTTTTTATTTTGAGTGTGTTTTAGGTTTTTGTCAAATGCTCTGTTTTGCATGTACTGATTCTACTAATATGGTATATATTATACCATTGGATTTTCATTTGTTAAACCAACCTTGAATTTCTGGGATAAATCCCACTTGTTCATGATTTATATTTCTTTTTGATGTGCTACTGAATTTGCTAATATTTTATTAAGGATATTTGCATCCATGTTCATGAGGGATATTGGGCTGTAGTTTTCTTTCCTTGCTTTTCCTTTTCATTCTTTTATAGCTTTGGTATCAGAGTAATACTGGCCTCAGGGGATTACTTGTGCAGTGTTTCCTCCTCCTCTACTTTCTGAAAGAGTTTGGTATCATTTCTTTGGAAAATATCTTATAGAATTTACAATTAAATCCATCTTGGCTTTTAAATTTTATTGTAATATAAAATACAACTTAGGGAATATTTTAAATTTCTATTTCAAAGTCTTTAATTGTTATAGGTATTTACAGACTTTCATATCTTCTTGAGTTAGTTTTAGCAATTTGTTTCTTTCTAAGAATTTTCTCATTTCATCAAAGTTGTCTAATTTGTTGGCTAAGGTGTCCTCTTTCTGCCAGTTGGTATCATAGATTACTGAGAACCTTGAATTAATCTTCCGTGGCATCCACCCATTTGTGAGTACAGTGGAATCTAGTATTGCTGTAAAAAACAAGGTTTCCAAATGGTTCTCCAATGTGGTAGAGACTAAGAGAGAATATAAGTAGGGCATAGCTCCATGGTAGCTGTGGGGTGGAAAACATTCTGAGGCTAGTCCTATGCAACACACTAGTTTAACATTGTCAGCACAAATCCTCATACTTACTCTTGTTCTGGGGACTTTGTATTGTTGAAACAGCATTTGGAGGTGGAAGATTTGTCACTGTTGTATTTGTAGTGATGGACTCATTCTTCATGACACCATTGGTTTTGGTTCCTAATTCTGTAAAAAGAATGAGCAGCCATGAGAGCTATAACAAATCACTAGATTGTCTTATTAATATTCATATTAACATCCAGTTACAATTTAAAGATAAATTGCTGAACATCTTCTGACAAAGTTCTAGAAATCCAGCATTTTAAGGTTCACCTTTTGGCAATCCAGTTACTTACTTTAAAGAAACAGAGGACATTGGACTTGCTTGCTATAGGTGATCATATTTGATCAGCACAGTAATCCTATGAATTAAGTAATTATTATGATCATTATTTTATACATAAGACCCTAAGAAGTTAATTAATTCACCATAGTCACATAACTTGTAACAGGAGAGAGAGCCATGACCTGAATCTAAGCCTTTCTGATGCAAAAGTTAATCACTCAGCTACTCTGGGAAGGGTATAGTAAGGAAATGGTGGTAGTTAAAGATGGCACTAAGGGTCTCATGCTGCCGGGAAAGAATTTTCAGGAAGATGGAATAGCCATGGGAGAAGGGATAACAGGAACTAAATAAACTAAATACACTTTAAAATATACTTAGTGTTTTTTAAAAATTAGCTACAAATAAAAAATAAGCTTAGCTTTTCAAAAATAACACTGAAATAAGATGACTTGAAACAATCTATATTTGCATAAATACTGTAAAGACAAAATGACTGATGCCCTTTAGTGTTTTCAAGGTTTAGTATGGGAAACACTGGGCTAGTGAAGAAAAGACAGACATGCCATTTAGTACATGCTTGGTATTAGCTAGACATAATGTTAGCTGGAGATGGGAGTAATGCAGTTTAGTAGATTCCTATCACAGAGTAGGATGGGGTGTGAGTTGCTGGTGCCTTCTGGAAATGCCAGTCAGTTTCCATTCTATGGCAATAAGAATCTACTGTGTAATGGAAATTCTTAGTGCAATTGAGAGATTCATGCTGGAGAAACTGATAGTTCGCAAGAGCACATAGACAGTAAATAGATCCGTTTTCAGGTAAAATGACTTCAGGAATTGATATGCAAACAAAAGTGAAAAAATTCAAATATAGACTACAGTGTTAACCTTGCATATGGAGGAAGAATGAGTGGAAATGGACACCAACCTCAGAGGCATTGTGGAGTATTAAGTTGAGAGGTAAACATGAGCAAGTAGAAATATGTTTTATTGTAGCAGAAAAGCAGAATTTGGTGCTCATTTTAGCATGGAAGTGGGAAAGGTCACCCAAAGTGCAGAAACTCAACACTTGATGATGGAAGAACATGTGGGGGTAAAGAAGTTTCTTCTTACTGAAACCTCAACATATGCATGAAATATATCAGAACAGGAGTTCCTCTTTAGAAATCTTTGGAGAATTTTTTTAGCTAAGCTAAAATTGGAAAGCATGAAAAAGCTATCCTGATAGCCTAAAGAATTCCCTAGAGCAAAGCAGTTTTAAGTTGGGGTGGTGGAAAAGAGAATACAGTATGTAGCTAAGAAAGATGTGGAGGGTGGCCAAGCTGGAAAAATACAAAAAGAAGAGTAAATAATGGAATAGCAGGGGATACAATGCAAAATATTTTGCTTAGAGAATTACCTATTGTTAATGTGAAATATAGTTTACAAATGAGAGTGGAGTTAGAGCCCACACTCAGTTCAGGGCAGGTTGTCAATTGCACAGCATCAAGTAGGCAGTGAGGGGACTCTTGAACGCTTCAAGGTAAATCAAGATACTTTTAAATATACATGGTTGACCCATAATGAAAAGAATGAAAGATGTGAAGACTAATGCTGCCATAGCCATAATTTTCAAATTTAACTTGTATAAAGAAACGCTTCTTCAAATTGTAGTCTCAGGAGAAAAGAATTTATACCTGGGTGACTACCATTTATTGTGATATGAGAATGATAGTCTTTGTTAACATCTTGTTGGGGAAATATTCCCACTTGTACTTTGGGCTCACACGTAGCAGATTCTGGGCTACTGCCAAGTGATTGACACCTCAGAGAAAAATAAAATCAATCTTAAAGCTGTCCTTTAAACTTAAATACTCTGGTCTCTTTCAGTTTTTCTGTCTGGCCACTTTCACATGAATAACAATATGTATCTGCTTTGGTCTGCAGGTGTGAACTATACTGTAAGTCTAGGTAATAATATATGTATTAAGTTTGCCAAACATAATTTTGCTTGAGAAATACTAATTTTTAAGAGAACCGCAACATCGAGA